CAGGACCGACAGAAATGGAAAGCAATTGTGGACGCCCTATGCCCCCCATGGGACAAAGAGGACTAGATGATGTTCCTTTGGTCACCGATGAATCCGTGACCAGAGTGGATTCATCGGTTCCTTTGATGCACCATGATCCGAGTGATCTTGGATCACTGATCCAGATCACCCCAAAAGAACGCACCCCAAAGAAACAAACAAACAAAAAAATTCATTAGCACAGTGGATTTCCATTTTCCGAGCCTCTTAAGGAAACGACACTTGTTGTAAGAAAGTGAGTAGCTCGAGAAATCTGGGGTAAAATCATAGTATTCGACTGAGCAGGAAACGACTTTTTGTTCGGGTTATCGGGAGGTCGATCCAAAAAATCGCGATTCCACTGTACTGGGTTTCGCGCAGTTTGATCTCTTCGAGCGTGTTTGGTAACTAAGGGCTCTTTTAATGTTTGCATCTGTTGGTAGTTGCTTTGTAAACCAATACTTCGTAACAGGTAAAATAAACTCGACACCAGTGGAAGAACAAATAGTTAATTTTATTTCATTGAGACCACTCAGCTAAGCATATGTGCCAGTAGTGTGTCTTGATGTATCTCGCTGTTTATATTACTCTATATTACTCTGTACTCTTCTTAATAAATAAGGCAACTTCTATGAATTAAATTTTTACATCAGAATCATCTGACAAGAGAAGATAAGAGTGAGAGAGTTAATCCCTTCTTTAAGCCTTATTCCAAAGGTAACCCAACTCGAGCTATTTTCAGACTCCTTGTTTCAGAAATCCCAGGAGGATCTAGAAATACCTAATTCTGTGATATAACCTGATAGGAAGTGCCTTGAGAATGAGGCCTATTTGTAGGATTAACAATCTTCCCCCTCTATCCCTCTTGACTTAACCAAATTATATAACTATTGTAATGCATTGCGAAATTTTCCGCGTTCTAGTTTCCCGCGTCGACGTAACTTCTAACAGAATCAGTTCAATTTTTGAAGCATCAGAGTCACTTGTATTCCCGGTAACAGTCGGAGCGTCCGAATAAAGCCGAAAACTTCACGAACTCAATTGATCCATGTCCGATACAAGTTTAATAACTTAACGATGAAATAAATTAGATACAATAACAAGTATCGGTTTCAAATCAATATAAGCAAGCTAATTTTTCGCGAAAATGTTTCAAATGATCATTATTCCTTCCAATCGAAGACAAACACATAACAATTATTTCATAATGTAGAAAAAAAAAACCGACAAGAAATATTAAGCAAAAAGCTACAATGATGGTTAAGATTAATGGCAAACAAACTTGAACATTTTCAAAAAACTCCATCCAAAATGTATAGCTTCTACGTAAACTTCAGGTAACAAACATTTTTTGCTGTTTCGCTTGCCTTTGAGGTTTTCTAATTGATATTTTTTTGGTGCCATCTAGACCTACAACTAGAAACTACATTTTGATCTCAAGTTCACAACGATGTCTCCTAACGAAGACGTAAATTGGATCTACAACTTTTCGCAGCTCTTAGTCAAAAATATTGAACTTTTCACCAAATATTGAACTTTTTAATGAACTCGATTTGCATTGAAGCTTAATAGCCTTTCTCACCAATTAGGAAACAACCTTTCCCAAAATGAAATCACCAAATGTGTTTTCTTTTCCGCGAAATTGACATTCTTGAAGACAATGTTCAAAAAAAAAAATTATTCCGCTATTGCTCTGCACGCATTGCGGGCTCATTGTGTTAGACAACGGTCTCCGTCACCAAACGGCACGGCCCTAAACAAAAATATTTGCATCTTATTTTATCCTCGTGAGACATTTCCGTCAGAAGTATATACACACGGGAAATGCAGTTCTGAATTCCTTCCTTAAATTGTCTCTTCGGCTTATACACAATGTCTAAATGTGTCTAAATTATCAAGGAGTGAAGTTCCTCGGCTCAGTGCAGTAATCTTGACAACAGGAAACGTTTGCCTGTATATCTTGCTTGGGAACAGTTATTTCAAGTATTTATCAAACAGTCCCTGTTTGTCCATAATGATCACGTCCTCATAACCACCGATAAACACATCATTAGCGAATACCATGGGTGTATGACGAGTCCCAGCCTTGGAAAACACTTTGTCTCTCTCCGCTTTGCTCATCCCGACATCAAGCGCAATCCAAGGATCAAAATCAGACCGACTTGAAATACCTTTGGCTTTTAAGAATTTCTCCAGCATTTCATTGTCTTTGCGAACTTTCAGATTTGTCGACATTGCGGCGTAATACACCCGGATTCTTCCGCGCCCGCCCAGATCGGCTTTCCCGCGGGACATCCCGTCAGAGCCGTCTTCCGACACGTTGTTGATGAAGACCTTGAAAGGACTGCCGATGATTGACATGTCGCCCCATTTTATGAACACTTCGTAAGCACCAGGCTCCGTCGGTATGTACAACACGCTATGCTCTGTGAAATTATCCTTCTTTGCGCTTTTGACGTAAGGAACTGGGATGGAAACCGCTGGACAGCTGATGCAGACGCTCAATGGGCCTTTAGTGGAGTTATCAGTCACAACAGTAAATCTGCCCACGCGACCAACCTCCCCGGCCATCAGGCCCGGTCCCTCAGCAGTATTCAAGGGGATTCTGGGACATGCTGATCCATTTGTCAAGTGGGGAGGAGTGGGTGGGTGATTTTTGAGTTCATCGTCTGAAGACTGACTTGGAGAACTAGTTTGACTTGTTGATGGGGTGGATACTGGAGAGTTATTCTCATTCGAGGACATTTCATGGCCAGTAGATGAAGTGCCATTCACTAAATCTCTTCGATGGTTCTTTGGGGATGCCTTCAGGGCGTTAACACCGTTATGTTCTGGGACAGTCAGATAGAATGGACTTCTTAATATGTGCGCTCCACAATGCAAAATGCTAATCACGTAATCACCAGGTCTTGTGGGTAAATATTTCACGCAGTATGTATTCCTGCTTAGCGGTTTCACACTCAAATCGGGCTTCTCTTCGTGTACAGCTCCCCGAAGTGGCTTGCACTCGATTGCTATGGTTATGTCGGTTGGTTTAGCACCGTTTAACTCCACGACGAACTCAGCTACTTTTCCAAGCTCACTGGCCCTTAGTCCTGAACCGTATGCTTTACAAGCGATCTCCTCGTCCTTCGACCCTGGCGTTCCATTATTAGCTTTCTTTCCAGTCCCCTTGCTCAGACTCTCGTACTTACAAAACAGCGCTAAGTACGTCAACAGGCTCAACTCGTCAAGCTGCGACGACGCCAAGTCAAACGAGGAAATAACCTGCGGTATTCCAAACGCGTCATGCGCAATTTGCATCCCGAGCTTGGCATTTCCTTCGCCATTTGTCTTGTCTGCGTAAAGCTTTGGCGGTATTAGCCCCGGCTGAGTAGCGTTCACCAGTTCACATAGTAACACACCGTCTTGCCAGTCCGTGTCGAAATTTGTTACGTTCCGGCTAGGTAGTTTTTCACGAACCCATGAAAGGATAAAATCTCTGGCGGAGGTCTCCGTTTGACCGAACATGACTTGAAGAGGAAGTATGAGGTAAAATATCACCAAGTTCCACACTAAGGCGAGGATAAAATCGACCTCCCCCTGAATAAAATTAACAGGATCTGCAAGGAATAAATTCAACAAGATAGCTGTAATGTGAAAATCTTTATTCCAGCTCAATGCAAATAAATGTAACTTTGACTGAACTTTCAAGATTTCCTCTTACATGTAACCATGTATTTGGTTTGATGTGATCCTTAGAAAAACCTCATATATTCAAATGTTTAATGACAACCAAAATGACAACTTCCCCCCCCCCACCCCCCCACGTCGTTCTTCTACTCGCTCGCGCGCTGAAGCGAAAAGCCAGAAACCAGCGCTTGAGTGCAAAACTCAAACACTAGAGTCTGCTTGCAGGTCATAGCAAAAAAATCGTGAAAAGATTCATAAAGTTAAATTAAGTTTATCAGAAAACCGGCTTAAAATGGCAATGACAGCACTCAGATTGGACTCTTTGTGGCATATTTTATATAAAGTTAAAAGTGACCTGACCAGGGTACCAAATAATGTCAATAATGAGAGCGCTGCTGATATCTGGGTATCATAACACGAACGTCGTGTAAAACAAACCAAGTGTCTATATATTTCCACTTTGCGCGTCGCCACGTTACACTTAACACGTTCTGGCATGCGCACATTTGACTCATTTGTTGTACGTGCGAAAATAGAAAAGGTGTCAAAAATAAAGTGGAAGAAATACGTTTAACCTCTCCCTTCATCCAAGACGTTTTAACACTTTGCGCCTACTTTCCATTTCAGTCTTATCACAAGAAAAGTGAACTGTTCCCGCGCTTATCAAATGTAAATAAAATCTGCAGGTCCGCACGAAGTGAAAAGATTTTTTAGGGTCAAATATAAATGATGTCACGGATAATAAACAAACATGATATTTTTCATGACAATGAGTCGTCAACCATCCGTGAAAACGACCCGAAATCGACATATTGATGCATTGTTTGCTTAAGTTCTACTCGACGATACAATGTATATTTATAAATAAAGTTACCAGAAAACAAGATTTTAACATACTTAAGGTATTTAATTACACGCAAAGGCATAACTTATTACCGTTTTAAAATGAACACAGTTGGGTTTGAAACCCTTTGAATGCTTTTGAAAGCACTGTGCCTATTCCACTTGCAAATTATACAAAACTTGAATTTAAATTTTTTTTTATACCTCCCACGTTAAGTTTTCTTTCCAGGAAAGTAATTTGTTTTTCTGCTGGCCAGAAGAGCCTTCAGTTCAAGAGGCAGGTACCTGCTAAGAAAGCCATTCAAAGACTGCTAGAAATTACTGAAATATGTCTTGCTGTCCTTCATACCTCCCTTATATAACTTGAAGGGTTTCATTCGAACCAAAGCAATAGATTTACAACACATAAAATATAAAGAGCATTTAAAAGCAGCATTTCAATTTTTGGTTTCGTGTCTGCATGCAAATATTAAATATATTTTGTCTAATGTGTAACCACGAACTCTGCGTGTGGCAACGATCATTTAGAGTGAATCGAAAACAAAACGATATCCTCCGAACAATATCGTCTTGACTTTTAATTAAATTAATTTGTGAATCTCTTACATGTAGCTCCAAATTGCTGTCACCTTAATTTTTCGCCTGCTCCAAGTTTCAAGCCTGGCAACTGTCCATATTTCCCTCCATACTAATTTGTTTTTCTCATACAGGGCACACTTCGTAAACAAAGAAGCAACTTGTGCCCACAGGTAGAATAATAAAAAATTCCTGGTGGTATTAATTTCAGCTCAAAAACATCAGCTATTCAATGTTAGTGCTTTTAATTAACCCTTATATATAGGAGAATTTAAGGGAAAAATATCTCTTTACCAGTACTAGAAACAGGGTTTTGAAAATTCCCCTGCATTAGCATACTCCACTTACATACAAAAACAAATACGAATATAAATAAATAATATTTCAGCTGCACCGTAGAAGAAAAGGAATATATTTTCAACTCCCCTTGGAGCTAAGAGAATTTAAAAAATCCTAATCTGACGATACAACGAAAGGCAACAAGCTGCCTTCGGCTAAATTTATATAAATTAAGAAATCATAAATTGCTCGAGTTGATTTGCAGTTTTATTTTCTACTAAAACCGCGCCTCGAGCACGAACTATTATGAATTAAGAAAAAGCTGTCTGGGCTCGAAGCTTCAGATGTGAAAACGAATGTGCCAAAGAAAGAATTTAAAAACGATTTTTCGCTTTATATGAGTATCCAAAAGGGTCGTACAAGTAACAGAAATATTGTAGCCGTGTACAAATGTGTTTTTGAACCGGTTCAATGCGTTTATACATGTATTTCAAGCAGTATACGTAAATTATTGTTATTCGTAGTTCTGGATAGAAATTTTCGTTTGTTATTGATTCATTTTTGCTATTAAGAAAGCGAGATGAACTGCACTAAATTTCATTCGTTCTAAGTAAGCTTGGCCCAAAAAAAACGAGATGGGTATTTCTAGATATCTTAAATAATATTTCAGTCGTGTTGTTTGAAATGTAAGCTTATTTGCTAGAGCGAAAAAATAACAGAAGTCAAAGAAATTATTGGTTGCTCGCATCAATGGATAATCTAAGCCGTCTTGAAGGTTTTTGTCGCTCGACCGAATGAAATAAAATGTTAAACTGGGACACAGATTGATTCAAAAGAAAACAATAAACTGTAACGAAAACGGAAAAAAATTACCTCAAAATGCAGCAATTCTGTACGCTTTTATCGATCCAGAGAGGAAGAAGGAGACTTTTTGAATGTTAAGGTCCAGCTGAGCAGCTTTGTGTCGTTCTATAGATGCTGTAGAAGTTCCCCCGTGATGTTATAACATATTAAGAGTCGTTCGACGGAGCGAAAGACGTTTGTATCGGCTAAATGTTGATGCGGTCTTAAAGTCTTGAGCACATGTCATGCGGACGTCAAAGGGCTTTATAGTATTTGCATAAAGAACAAATATACATATGCTAAGAAGAATTTCCATAAGCGTCTTTCAGCTGACAGGTAGTCTGGCACGGCAGACTGGAGCGACGCTCAAATAATAATGATAATTTCAGATAGCTTCTTGTGTCGAAAACACTTCGCATTGCTGCCAAAAAAGTTTCATAAATTAACAGTCAATATGATCAGAGAGGATGTGACAACAAAATCCTGGTGGGATTAGTGCGGCATTTAACCATTAAATAGCGGGACATTTCAATCTTATTTTTCGTTGAGGGCTCAAAAAAAACAATACAACATCAAAATGAAATCAGGCAGCAAAACTCTTCAAATATTTTGTATTCTTTCTAGAAAAATGGCAATTTCTTTCACAGAAAGAATTTTTTTCCCATAACAACCAGCTCTACATGAAAATTATCTTGGACGCGCTCAGTAATTTTCAGAGCAGCCTGGGAACGCAAGTTGGACGACGATCGAGCCCAGACCCTCGCAGTTTTGTTGGGACGGCAAAGATGGCGCTATAAGTTGGAAGTCGCGAGGTACATTACCTGTCTTCGAATCAAGTTCACTTACGGGCGGATCATGATTTCTTTAGAGGGGTGGGGGGCGATTGGGCAATCAGTTCCCAAAAATATTTCCTGCAGAGGAAAAACTGCTGGAAAA